TCCCACCTGTACTGTTGATGAAGTGTGGTGAGGGAATGAACAGAGAAGCTCCTCATCATGGGTTGTGGTGTTATTTCAGGCCTACACTGCATACCTGAGTGGAATGGTGGAGTTTGAGCTGCAGGAGTGGAAACAAGCCATGGAGGCTTTCAACAAGTGCAAGTGAGCTTTAACATTACTGCACTCTGTTTTTTGTTTTTTAATCTTCTTTTAATAATGGGAGGTTTTCTTTTCTGTTTGTTTTTTCTTTCACCTTTTTTTTTTAAAACCACTGATAAATATTTTTGTCTTGTCAGGACCATTTATGAGAAGCTGGCCAGTGCCTTCACTGAGGACCTGGCAGTTCTGTACCGCCAGCGTGTAGACGAGATATCGCCCAACATTCGCTACTGCGCTTACAATATTGGTCAGCATTGCTGTAGTCGTTCTTCTCAGTGTCATTGTTGATGCACAACACCAATCCTGAGTTCAGTCCTTCCTCTGCACACTGACAAACACACACTCACTCCCTGGTTGTATTTGCTTTTAGGTGATCAGAATGCCATCAATGACCTGATGCAGATGAGGCTGACTGGTGGAGGAGGTGGCATGATGGCTGAGAAACTAGAGGTAAACACAAAGGGGTAAAACTTTTGTTAGTCAGTCTGTAATTCATGATTAAACTGCTGAGGGGAGCACATACCAAATAAGAATATTACACAGCTGTGTAATCATGTACTACATCCAGAAGTATTTGTTTTGTTTCCCTCAAGGCACTGATTACTCAGGCGCGAACCAAGCAGGCGGCCACTATGAGTGAAGTGGAGTGGCGAGGACGCACGGTGCCCGTGAAGATCGACAAGGCTCGCGTCTTTCTATTGGGTCTGGCAGACAACGAGGCTGCCATCGCTCAGGTCAGCCTCTCACACGTTCTTTCTTTTTTAAGCATATAAACAAACTCAGTGGGAAATGCATGTTGGTTGTCCTTTCTATGTCTCTTGGGCTGCACACAATGGAAACAACTGCAGAGACATTGACTCAAAGACAATAAGTGAATAGATTCCCTCTGTAGTACAAATCTAATCGTGTTCATCACTGGTCATTACCCCTCCCTATGTTTCCTGACTGCCTCCCGCAGAGCTACTATCAGAGACTACCCAGTATTTATCATAACACTGATTCTGTGTGCTCATATGACCCATTTAGACTGCTTATAGATGCTACCGTCTTAATTCAATGAATTCAACCTTGTTTCTTATTCTCCGCTGCCATATGCCTTTTATATCCTTAGAAGGGGAGCCTATTATTTTTGTTTTCACTTCCAAATTCAGGCCCACTTCTATATTTTCATTCTTAAATTGGGCCTTGATTTGAGTTTTAAGCTCACAGGGATTATTTGCATATAGATCAGGTAGTGTCAAACATAATTCCTGGGTACAGACACTCCAGTCTTACCTGTTGGACTGCTTTGGAAAATGTCTTAAAAGTGTTTTAAATATATTTTCATAAGTTTTGCAGCTTTTCCATCTGTTTAAGACCTCGTATGTGACCGTTCCTACTAAAACAACACAATTAAGTGATAATAGCAATTAAATGACTACTTTTACTATTTATATGCAATAAAAACTATTTATATGAAATAAAAGAAACTGATTCTTTTTCAGTGAATTCAGAGTAAAATTAAAATTTCTGTGAATTAATACTTTGTTTTATAAATTTTTGTAATTTTACACATTTATTTTCTGTAATTTA